CATTGTTGGTCACAACATTTGAAGAGAAATTAACATACTACTCTTTCTTCTCTTGCGGATTACTACAAAAATACTTCTTCATGTGGCACAGCTTGCCATACTTGCAACATTTCATCTTCTTGTTGTCTTCTCTTGACTTGTACTTATTTTGCAACTTGCTCACGCTGGTGGATTAATCCTCCAATCTTCCACGACTAACATAGAAGGCAATAGAAGAACAAATTGTTGAAGCAGAAATCATCTTTTGTTGGATGTCGTTTGTCAACAAAACTAGTATTTCTAGATCTAATACGTGCACAAGGCCTGACTTCACGGAAGCGCTGTCTTTATTAGATAAAAGATCGATGCAGGGCTTGCTCTGGTGTTTGATGAATCATGATAACTCAACGAATCGCACGGCCTTAGCATTGACGATGTTTCATTCAAATTTCTGCCCTATCAACTTTAGACGGTAGAATAGAGGTCTGCCGTGGTGGTAACGGATGACGGAAAATTAGAGTTTGATTCTCAAGAGGTAGCCTGAGAAACAGCTACCACATCCAAGGCAGCAAGCACGCAAATTACCCAACCTTGAGAGGGCGAGGTAGTGATAATAAATAACAATACTGGGCTTTTACAAATCTGATAATTGGATTGAGTACAATCTAAATTCCTTTACGAGAATCCATTGAAGGGCAAGTCTGGTGCCAGCAGCCGTGGTATTTTCAGCTTTAATAGTGTATATTTAAGTTGTTCCAGTTAAAAAGCGTGTAGTTGGATCTTGAAAGAAGGTGAGCAGTACCTTTTGATGTGCACTGGCGGCCCCTTTCTTTTTGGCCGGGGACGCGCATCTGGCCTTCACTAGTCGGGCCGCGGAGTCAGCGATGTTACTTGGAAAAAATTATAGTGCTCAAAATAAGCCATATGCTAGGAATACATTAGCATGAAATAACGCGATAGTACTTTGATCTTATTGCTTTGGTTCAATCATTACTCCGGTCTTATTGGAACTAGAGTAATGATTGATAGGGTTAGTTGTTGGAGACATTTGTATTTCATGGTCAGAGATGAAATTCTTGGATTCATGAAAGATAAACTTCTGCGAAAGCATTTGCCAAGGTTTTTTCATTAATCAAGAACAAAAGTTGGGGGCTCGAAGACGATCAGATACCGTCATAGTCTCAACCATAAATGATGCCGACTAGGTATCAGTGGTTTGTCAACAAAATTGTCACTACCTCGTTGTAAGTGATGTTTTCTTTGTCTCGATGAAGCAACACATGACATAGAATGTGGTATGAAGTTGGCAAGGAGCTCAAAAGCTGCAATGTGTTTTTCTCATCACTCAAATCTTCACCCAAGTTCAGTAGATCAAACTATAAATCATTAAAATTATTAATGTAGTCCTATATCTATGTACCTTTGGAACTTCAATCATTTTGAAGCTCATCAGTTTTATCAGTGTGAAAAGACAATTTGACAACTTCTTAATGTGATATTTTGTTTGAACTGCTTGAAACATAGCTGTCACAGTTTTGAATTTCTTGACTTGTTCAACACATTTGGCTTTAAATAAATAGTCACAATATTCATAACTTGATCTTGAACCTCATTCTAATACTCGTCATCAACCTTCAAGGGTTTCAGTTTGAGAATGTTCTTTAAGTCCATTGACTTGATCATATTTTTGACTTGTCGTTCCCATAGTAAATATTTGGTACAACCATCAATATGTTTAATTTTAAATCTCAGTTCATCAAACTTATATATCGCCATATATTTGATCAGCATATCATCATTAGGTTTCTTTGGAAAAAAAGCTTAAATTCTCACTTTTGTCGTTAGAATCAAAGAGTTGAGTATCCTCTGCTAAAATTGGAACAAGCTTCACTCCTCGTTCCAAGTTATTCAAATCTAGATAACACTCTCATAGTTAACAATTTCCATTACTTACGGTAAAAAATCTTCAAAAAATTTGAGATCATCCATGCGTAGCTCACAAGATAATTCATATCTAGATAACACTCTCATGGTTAACAATTTCCATTACTTACGGTAAAAAATCTTCAAAAAATTTGAGATCATCCATGCGTAGCTCACAAGATAATGCAATGGATCGTGAAAACTGGTTTTCAAGATCATCTCTAAGTAAAAAATTATAAAATCTAAAATTAGAAGAGGTAAAAATTTGAATTTGGACCTTCTAGATTTTTTAGTACCAAAAATTTACAAGACATGTGTTTCCAAAACTGTCTCTTGTATGGCTTGTTCAATTTGCTTGAAAACCACAGTGAAAACTTTGAATTTAAACGGACGTCCAAACTGATATGTATTTTTTAAACTAATATGTCAGTTCACGGTGCGTATGGTATGATTAAAAAAACGTGTGATTTCTGAACCTATTGAGATGACTCAAGAATTTTGATGCAATTGAGTAAGCAATTTTGGCCAAAACCGAGTTTGCTTGGTCTAATCTATCAAAATAGCAAACAAAAAAAAATAAAATATCTATTTGATTACATTTTGCCAAGATTCATCATAGGGAGCGTTTTTCTCCTGTGGAGCGTACGTGATCTCTTCTTTGACATTTCTTATCCGAGTAATATGGAGCTCTGTCCAGGTTGCTCGCCTTTTGCTCAGAATTTTTTCAAACCCTTATTTCCACAATTTGTATCACTGAATTTGCGTCTCTGTTCAACAAACAACCACCATAATCGAATTTGACCCCAAACTTCAAATGGCCATAATTTTGCTAATTGTCAACAAGATTTAATAAAATTTATCAAAACAATTGTTTTAGAGATTATGTCAAGACTATGTATGCAAAATTTGAGAATAGAGTGATAAAAAATTTAAATTTAAAAAAATCATACGGTTTCTTAGATCTCTCCCACTTTAAATTTCAAAAATCTTTGTAATCACTCGATAAAACAATACATTTCTTTCATCAAAGTGTTATATGACTACTCTTCTACAGAGAATCAGCCAACAATAACTTCAAATTGCAAGTAGAAATTTTGACAGTGCTTCCGCGTCTCTAAGAAAATTGTAAAATTAGAAATTTGCATAATTGAATTGGCTCTGATATCAATTGTATGGTCCAACAATCAAGATCAATGCACGCAAGACAATCACAACAATGAGATTACGCGGTTCACCTTCCATGAGCTACGTCCATGGGCAAAACTAGAAACTTCACTAAAGCACAAGTATATACACGGCCTCCACTCAAACTCTCTTCCTTCATGCTCACTTCCAAAGTGCAACTTTAAACTGTACGTAGTGAATGGTTCATTCTCTCTTCTATACAAGAAGAAAGAAGTTGCATATCTTAGCTAACCTAACTATAGTTAAATTCTTAGCCCATGATTATCGTTTAATGAAGTAAATTCAAAATAAAATTAACCTAACAATGAAGTGATATCAATTAATTAGTTTAATCAATAAGTTTTACATAAAATGAAAAACAAAACTGATTTTATGATATCACATATCATGATAGAATAATTTGTTTGGTAATATTACAAGAACAGAAATTACAACTTTATTATTCATGCATATTTTTTGATCAAATTCACTTGGAAATATGTTAATATCTTTAAGTATAACATATGATATTGTGAATTGTTGCATTTTATAATACATATGATGGAATTATTAATCGTTGTCAAAAAATCAGTTTTATTAACACACATATTTCTAATTATTGAATTTTTTTCCCAAAATTAGTAAATAATATAAACAAAGTGTAAGCATTTTATAACAACATGAAAAATATTAGGATTTATAGTTTAAAGAAAATTTTTTTTCACAATAAATCCAAATATCAGGCAATTCTTTCTTATACATAACGAACAATTTATGAGAGTTGGATCAGAATTTGTAGATGTTCTCAAAGTTTTGATAAACTTTTTTAACATAGCTTGAAGAGAAATTTTTAAATCTCAACTTATATCTAATCTTATTTATACGGATAGCTACTCTAAATGCAATATGTTTTCATCTTGGTTAACAAATTATATCCAGATTTTAAATTACATTGATTCATTATTTTCTCTAAAAAGGTTATAGAATATAATAAATTCATACACAATGATTGTGATATTTTAGATTTCAAATAATCACTTACATTTTTTCTAATCTTTATTATACAGACGAAGTTTTTTATTGAAGAAAATTTTGGAAAAATTCCATCGATATTCATTTCAAGTCTTGACTCTTTTTTTTCATTTTATTTCAAAATTTAGAATTCGCTTACAACAATCTTTGAATTTAAGAAAAATATCAAGATAAATCTTAATCTTACTTTCATGATCATTATTTTTATTTTTATTTTGTTGAATATTCCTTAAATTTTTTTTCTAGTCTATCTACTAAATCAGATAAAGAATTGTTAAAGAGTCATGTGAAAAAATTACAATAATATTACAAAAGATTTGAAATTATCTATATGCATGTGAAAATTGTTTTATCTCATCTATTCCTCAGCTGTCAAATATATCAATCTAATCCAAAGTTTTATAGATTGAATGAATTGTAAATAAATCAATAAACATATAACCATCTCCGTTTTTCTTATTATATATTATGAGTCATGTGTCTGAATTTTTGTCTATATTTAATACTTATTTTGCGTTCATCTGCTTAATTCTTCTCGTATTCTTTTTATTGATTTCTTCTCGTTGGGTAGATTCTTCTTATTAGTAGGAATAATATACGACATATCTGGAACTCCTAGAACCATTTAGCAAAAAGTGACATAAGAGGAGAAAGTTTAATTTTGGTGTCAGTTTCTGGTGAAAGAAGTTTGACTGGGGCAGTGTTTGTGCCTTTTGTTTCTTCTAAATTTGAAGACGATCTTACTACAGATATGGAACGAAGTGACTCAGTGTTAGTTCAAATACCAGAACAATTGAAAACTCAAGTTACCAAGGACCACAAGACATAATATACAGGGAATGCACGATCATGAAATTCTTTACAAGACTATCTTGATAGTCCTCCTGGGCCTTCTAATCAGCATGGGGACGACTAAAGAAGGAAGGTAAATCTCAATATGCCAATGCAAGTCAATGTTGTATGGAGAGAATTGAAGTCTTGAGAAGAAATGAGTGGTGTTCAGAGACATTTCAGCGGGAACACTAACACTCAAATGATGAGACATTAGACGAAAGAGAGATGAGAAATGTGTTCAGACGAAAGTCGTAACCTTTTTAAGGTCATCAGATTCGTGGGCCCTGCACAAAGTTGACTGTGTATATACTATAATCTGGTGGACTGAGATATTCTGAGGTACAAAATTCATGCATTGAGGGTAGCTATAAAATCCTCTGTTGGAACATTGAGTTTCTCCAGTCATTACTTCCAAACATCTGGTTGTCGGTAAAGTTTCACATTCACGAATTCTAGTGCGATGGCTCCACTACACTCGGCATCTACCGTCTTGAGCATCAGATCTGACTTCCGTGAAGAAAAATTTCGTAGGCAGCTGAAGAGCGAACTCTACAGAAACGGCAGCCGCAGCAGTCTTCAGAACGTTTACAGAATCCCAAATTTTCAGCACCGTTACCCCAAGGCCCAACAAAACCCCTTGACTCCCGAGTACACAGATATTGCTAATGACTGGTTGGCTTCTTTTGGCGTAGATAAGGAGCTGGGTCCGAGTTTCTGGCCATCGTGTCTGGCGGGCAAATCTTCTGATCTTGTGGGCTATGGGTTCCACGACATGAGTTTTTTTAGACATGAGTTTGGTGTTATTGTGGAATGATCCTGAGAACAAGAGATTACTGGAACGTTTGAACTCCATTCTGGACCGGTTGATGGCCACCGAGGCTTCCAGAAAACGCCTACAGCTTCACACATTTCATGCAGATATGGTGCATGCAAGGAATAAATCCAAATCACGTAAGCTAGTCTTCGGACGAAAAATCTTGACGAGTTTTCAACTGTCTTCCGTACAAGTCACCTATAGAATTGTCCGCTGAAATTAAGTTGCTACGCTGGAACTTATAGTCACGGGCAATGCGCTGTAAGCCTGTTACAGAGTCACACTAGCCATGGTCGTCTGAGCTCGGAGATAGGCCAGCTCAGAATCAGGATTCATATATCCATGCTGCGCGGCAGGTACTTGTATATTTTCAATCGACATTCATTTATCGACTGTATTCTGAAACTGACTAGCTATTGTTTTACTCTCGCAGTTCTCGACGTCAAGATGGGAGCTTTCGCGTCGGCATTGCGAGATATGTGGCTGGAATATATAGAAGCTGTGCCTGCTGAATTTGCATCTAGAGAGGCTGAGCTTCTTCTAGACTACTTGTCGGCGTGTCTCTGGGAACAACAGAATCGAAAGACAAGAGAAGAAATCACAATTCCTGATTTCATCACCCTTCGAAGATCTACTGTGTGTGTGATGCCACTTTTTGTGAGTTTCAACCAGTATCACGAACCTTTTGTCTTTTTTCCTCCTTTGATAGGATAAAAAAATTTATTACAGACATGGTGATTTGATTTCATCTTCTGCACGTGAACAGGTGTGCACCGATCTTATCATTGAGCATAAAAGACGGAAATTTGCAATTTCTCATCTTCCCAATAGCATTTTCTATGGAGAAAATATGCAGAATCTACTTGCCGCCTCTGCCGACTGCATTGCGTGGCATAATGATGCTTTCAGCTTCCAAAAGGTAGGCCCAGTGTAGGACACTGCGTATCATTTCTGTGTATCAAATTTACACCTTCGGACCGGGGAGTCTTCTAAGTACTACATTTGACGTAACCCATAGCTTGATAATCTTACGTGATAGTCTCTTGATTTCGAGCTTGTCTTTGATTGTCGCTTGTTTCACAGGAAATATTCCGCGATGGCGATGTGCACAATTTAGTGCAAATCGTGTCCCAACAGTACATCTGTCATTCGCACACACAAGCAGGAGCACTTGTAATCGAAATACTGCATGATAGAATTGCTGAGATGGAGCTTGCGTATGAAAAGCTTAAATCTGAGGCCTCTCCTGAGTTTCACCCCGCAATTGACCGGTACATGAAAACGTGTAGAGACTGGATTCCTGGAACTCACGAGTTCCACACGACTACCTTGCGGTACAAGATTTCTAGTTCTCTATCTGAGATAGACGAAAATCTGAAAAGGTAGAACACAGTATCAGATTTTTTGTCACAAGTGTCAATTCAAAGTGTTCAGGCCTGGGTGAAAGTGGGCACGTATCCTTAGTCTTCACTTTGCCTGCAATCCTGAAGCAAGGCTGAATATGAACTGAGTTGATGTTGCTGAAGCGTGGAAGTGAGAAGCGTGTTAGCCTAGTGAGAGAGAGAGTATTTTCCAAATGAGTGCATTGTAAGAACTTGTGTTGCCTTCAACACAATAGGAAGCTAGATTAAATTATAATCACATCTTATGTGATTTCTTTAATAAAAATAAGACTAATTCCATGACTATGTAAAAGATCATGCGTGGAAAATGAAATGAACAACAATTTATCTAATAAACATCGTCACTATTTGGAAAAATCAATAGTTCATTGAATCTTGAAAATTTCAATAATCACATTTACATTTATATTTATTCATACATATAGGGATTTTATTCTAGAGAAACGTGACATTTTTTGGAAATTAAATACTAATGAAGTTGAGAATTTTTAAAGAAAGCGTTTTGAATATTTTCATTTCGCTGTTGACATTCTGTTTTAAAATGACATTTTCATCTCAAATTAAAACATAATTTCTCACTCAAAACATAATTATTGTTTGACATTCAGCTTCAATAGATGATATGAGATGATTTGATTACTTTTTAGATTTACTTTCATGATCTCTCATAGTGTTAACTGTACTTCAGATTATTATTTCAATAAAGAAATTAGAGTGAATTTTTTTTTTATTTTTCTTCTATTATATTTTCAATTATTGTGATGTTGATTATAATATGGTTTTATCAAATATAATCAGATTAGTAACCGAAAAAAGGTCTTGAAGATGATCAAAATCTTTAGAATAAAATCCCTATGTGTATGAATTAATTGTTTTTGTAAATGTAAGTATTGAATTCTTCAAGATTCAATGAATGAGTGATCTTTTTCTTCAAATCCTAATGATGTTTATCTATAAATTGTTGTCATTTTATTTTCCACGAAGGATCTTTGGCATAGTCATGGAATTAGTCTTATTTTTATGAAAAACGTTGATCATACTGGACATAATGGAAGACAAGGATGTGATATGAAACTATCTAGCTTCCTATTGTGTTGAAGGCAATACAAGGTTCTGACAATGCACTCATCTAGAAAAGACAGTATATTTCAAAGTTATTTTAATTGATCAAATACAAGATAAAAACATAGTATCTTCGTTGGTTGCACAAAATTACAAGTTCAAATTATGCACAATTTCAATCTTATGTTAAGAAATTAAATAATAAAATTGATTAACTAGGTTTATAATTTGAAATTGGCTGAAGATTTAATAGATTATTAAATATCAATTCCAAATGCAGTTAGCAATACAATAAGAGCTATGGAAGTATTATTACACAGAAAAATCCTTTTTTGAACCGAACACTCTAAAAATGATGAAATTCAAGTTATAAATCAAAGCCATAATTATAAACAAGAGCGTTTTTGTCCTCGTTCGCTCGTCTCCTACTACAAGGATGGCTATCACAGCCAAATGAGGCCTTCTTCCTTCACTCCATGCCCGCCCTTCCGAACCACGATTATTACAATTTTCTGAACTCCTTGCTGAAAATTTTTTGACGATCCCATTTGCCTTCTAATTCTCCCGTTCATGTAAATGTTGAAAGCGGTAAAAAAAATTTCTTCTATAAGATTAAGTATAATAGATTTTCAAATTTTTTTATAGTTTTTCGTGTGACCTTGTGTGAAGATGTATAATAATCATATATCATCTGACTATCAAAAATCCCATATTTCTGTCGGGTTTTTTTATTGCAAAGTGATGCAACGGCATGAAACTCTTTGGGGTTCAGCGTTGATTGACCGACAAGCATGACGGCGGATATTGATCTCGCCTAATCATTTGAAATATTTTCAATCGGCGGATAGAGTGGAGTTTCGGCTCATGAAAGCTCGAGCTTTGTCACTTTGCAAGTTTTGGTTTTAAATAAATTGGAGTGTCATCATGACCTTCACGGTATCAACTTTAAGTCATGCAAGGATCTGTTTTTCATAGTTAGTGTACTCTATGTTATCAATTTAAAATGATTTTTTATCTTATTTATCTTGATTTTTCTCTTGATTCTTAAACACAAAGGTCTCTCTCTTTAGAACAACGTATCAACATTGTATTCAGTTCATCTTGATTCACATTTACACAGTCTTGCTCCGCCCTCGTCTCTGCAACATGCTCCAATAACAAATGAGAATTATCCGTTAACAACTCTAGATAGTTAGTAGATACATATTGCAAACCACTCCATAATCCATATTCTTAAATAATGTATACTTCTTGGTGCCCTTTGCATATCAAAACCTTTCATGGATATTTGCACATTTTTTTTTAACATCCCATGAAAGATCACGTGAAGTCATTTTGAATGATTTGTATAATATATTATTTTGATCATATCACTTCAACAAATTTTGGCTTTGAAGTATGTGAAAACACCACCTAAGACCCAAAACTACCCCCACAATCATTTTACAAAACCAAAAAATAGATTGTGTTATCAAAGTGAATTATATATAACTTGGAACAATCAATAAATAAAAATTCAAGAATATCTAAAATCATTATACAAATCCACTTTTGAACATGTTTACATTATAGTTTTTATATCGTTTACACTGAAAATAACAATTTTCTTTTTTTCAATAGACTAATATTCCCATTTTCTTTTTACAAATGTTATAACTAATCTACTTGTTTTCAAAAAACATGAAATTAATTTTTTCAAACAATAATAAGTCCAAACGATCAACTTTGAAACCACCTATCATTCTTGAAATCATATGTTTCATAATTAGAAGCCATATTACAATCTATACATTGAAATTACCAACCTCTTATTGTTTCCAATTGATCATGAATCCCATTGAATATCTACAAATGTTATAAAGAAAGAAAATCAACATGCTTTCAAAAATTATGTCTAAAACTTTATCCAATCAATGAGCTTTCAAACCATCTATCAGTCTTAAAATGATCTTTTTTATGGTTTGTATTATAATTTTGAGCAATCATGAAGATAGTTTAGTATAGTAATTCTGATTCATTCTTGATCGCAGTAATTCAAAAACTCAGTTTTTTCCAAACATTTATTTTGAAATTGCATCCTATCATTCCATATCAAAGTATTATGATCAACATACATCATATCTTCAAGATTATCACACTTATCCAAAATAGATGTTTGCTTTTTCATTTTTTTGGCTAGTTTTAACTTCCATGTCTTGAAAAAATATAAATTATCTTAGACTTTAATATGCAATTTTTTATAAAAGACATGTATTTATCATGGCAAACGCTACAATCCTGAGCATAGAGTAAGATATGATAACATTTGTTTTATGCATATATCTGCACAAACAAATCAAGAATAGAAATGGATAAGATCTCACAATTATTATCAAATATGAAATATGCAGAAAATAATTGGAATTTTTAAAACTATAACTTTCAATGCAACATCTCTTGAGAAGCACCATCAATTATATAACAAATTATTATCCAATTAAGCTTAAAATTTATTACTACAGCTTTAAACTTTTGCAAAAAAATCACAATCTTTTTTTAAACGCATTTGGTAATAGAAAATCTCCTTTTATGATGATAAAATATAATCAGAGTTAAGAATTAAAATGCACAATGGTAAAACACACAATGTGTTATTGGATATTAGCAAATAAATACAATGTGTGATTTTTATAAATGTATCAACAAGAATAAAAAACAATTTTTTAAGCTACACATTGGCAAATTAAAAATCCAATAATTCAATATACAATTAGAGAATAATTTATGTCATCTTTAATTTTTGCAAATATGATATTCAACTCAAGGAGCCTATTCTGAAAACAATGAACCATCATATTCAACCGGAATTTGGATTAAAGAACCATAAATTCTTAAGATGGTTCACTACATATGTATGATTGATGTAAAAGACTAAAGTAAAGTTGTATTTTAATTTAAATCTAAAGAAACGGTTGATCGTCTTGATAAAGATATAATTTTTTTGATAATATTTGCTATCATGTTATGCATATGTTTCAATTCAAACGCATAATTTTTTGCTCCTCTAATGAATCATGAAAGCAGAGCAAGATTATTACATGGACAATCTGGACTTACTATTTGAATCTATTGCTTCAAATGCATATCAAAGATTTGTAAAAAAATCAAACTTCATCTTAAAGACTCCTCTATATTTTTTCTAACCTTGCTTGTAATATGTGGAGCATATACATACTTTGGATTTCAAGTAAAAACCTCATTTTTGTGATAATTAGAAATAATTTTGTGAAATATTTTATCTTTATCATTACAATTGATTTTTCAAAAAAAAATTAAATCACATGAATATGAATATCTAAATAAATATATATATAAGAAAAATCAACTGCATAATTATAACATGTACAGAAAAAAATTTGCAAAACATATTGCCAACAGCTTTTATCAAGAAGTAGCTAATGACTCTTGCATTTTTACCTCTACAACCTCTTGCTTACCTAGTGTTTGTATTCGACTATTCATTTAGTTTTTCACATCAAAACCTGAATGAATTAGCCTACTTCTACACCATGATCAATGTGATATATTTATTCCATCTAGTCTCACGTGCGATAACGGTCGAGTTATTGGTTTTGGCACATCCATGGCAATTCAGTCAAACAGGAAAACTGTAAGTGAAACAAGCAAATAAAATTTTTAAAAATCATGAAGATCTTGTAATATCAACTACTTCATAATATTGATATTCTTTTACTTTCCAAGCTAAATATGATATTATATACTTGAATGAAAAATAACTTTTATCATCATTTCATTCTAGAATATTTTCTTCTACCAATGATTTGAAATTAGATGTGTCAAAACTTTCTGACGTTTATGCACACAAGAGTGTACCAAAAGTTATATGCTATGAAAATACGATAAGCCATACATTGACAAGGT